GACCCCCATCAAAGGTGAACAGTGCAAGCGCACCTGCAGCTGTTCGCGCACCTGCCACAGCGCATTCGCCACCCACGCTGACGGCACCATTTTGGGGACGTCGCTCTTCCCGCTGCCAACGTTCCTCTCTACTCTCTCGTTCACTCTCTTGCTCTTTTGTTCCCCTCTCCCAAAACAGTGTTGTCACGCGTTCATCTCTAACTCAAAATTCTCTATCTCTCGTCTCTATCTCTTCTCTCTCTCGCCTAGAGAGCTATGATATCGATAGAGCGCAGAGAGAGAGAGAGACGACCAAGCGCCCCCCGCTCCACGAGAGCAGTCAAAACTCCGCAACCTACAATACCCTCGATACTACCCCACTCATCTATCTCTCCCCCCTATCTCTCTCTCTCTCTATCCCACTCTCTCTCTCTCTCCCCCCCTCTCTCTCTCTCCTTCCTCCCTCGCTGTTTTGCTTTCTTGCGGTGCAGCCCTCTTGTTCTCTTGCTTTTGCAGCCTTGTTGAAAAACAGCTGCATCATTTATCTCCCAATCTGGAACCTAAGACGACACCAAAACAACCGGCTGGCCAACCGTGCTGATAGAGCGAAGCTCCGTGCCGTTGGTCTCCTGCACTGCAACCGGCCTTTCCGGCCAGGGCGGCCGCCGCGTCAGGCCGCGCCACCAGCGCGACGCCGCACGCGTCAGCAGGAAACCTCCGTCAACCGGAAAAAGGTCAGACTTGACCGAGCACCATCGGGCTTCCACGCCGACTTTCCTCGCTATCAGTCCAGTTTCGACACGTCGCCATCAGACAGCGCTTGTTCCGGCCGTCCCGCCGCGCCACCTCTTCTGGGCACTTGATCGGTGGGTGTCATCAGTGTCGGCCGCCGGCCAGACACTGCCGTTGGAGGGCACATTCCAGGAGACGGGGGTGCCCGCCCTGGCTTTGTCGCCCGTGCGCGTCGCTCCCCTGCAAAACAGCGCGGCTCCCCGACGGAACCCCGTGCCAAATGGGTCCGGCACCGCACTGGAACGGGGCGAGCCGCATCGACGAGTTCAGCGCCCTCGGCCGCCTGGCAACAGCGAACAAAGAGGCCTCTGCGCAGACCGTCCGCGCAGCCAGGCGGCCGCCAGCACTGTGACGTCATCGCAACACGGCAGATGCGCGGTGCGCAGGTGGCCGTGCGGCAGAGGGATCCGGGAGCGTTGACGGCGGGCGGGGAGGGGCGACACGCCGGTGATGGGCCCCGCACCGGACAACCGGGCCGCCGCTCCTCCTCCCTTCCTCCCGCCTCATTCGCTCACTTCATCGCGCCCAAGGAACCCCTGCCAGACAACAGACCTAGCCAACAGGATTTTACGGCCCACAAAGCGCCAGGCGGCCGCGCACCGAAGCCCCAGCCGCCGCCACCGTCGGCTGTGAAAGCGACGGCCGCGCTACTGCCGACGCCTAAGCGGCACCAGCAGCGCAACACGCCCGGCTCGGGGCGTGCCGGCACGGCGTGCCGCCCGCGGCCGCACAGCCGTGCGCCAGCGGGTGCCAGCGATACGCACCTGACACGCAACGCTGGCCGTCAGACCGCTAATCCCGGGTAAACAGAGCCGTCAGCAGTGGCGGCTCGGCCGCGCGGGGCGAGCGGGCCGTGCCGGCGGCGGGCCGCGGTCAGTATTATTATTATTATTATTATTATCATTATCATTATTATCATTACATATATGCATTGCAATTTCCACATGTTTACAGGACTATCATTCGGCAAAAATCAAAGGCGGCCATATCAACAAAGCCTCACTAATGGTCGCCTGAGTGCGTCACGTAGCTTTCCCATGGTGCAACCGGAACAGAATCGGACCGGCGCACGCGCCGCCCGTTATTAAGCGTGGCGCAATGGCTATGTCCGCCTCGGGCTGCGCCTACGCGCGGCCGCGACTAGCCTGTTTGGTGTGACCATGGGCTGACGCCTGCGGGCTTGGATAGCGTCCAATCGCTTCATTACCCCCCCCCCCCCCCATACGCATTATCGGGAGCGCGTGCTACACGCACATTCTGCGTGCGCCTGACCCACATTCGTGAAGGTCCCCGCGTCCCGCCAAGCCGAAGTTCCTTGCGCCGCGACGCAGGGGATCAATACACAGGGCTTGGCGCGGCGGCCGCCCAACCCTCCGTCCAGGCCCCGCCCACGATCAGCTGGCCAACAGCTGATCGCCGAGCGCCCGCCAACGACGGAACGCCGCGGTCGCCGGGCGCCGCGCACTGCGCACCGTGCGGAGGGCGCGAGGCGGACTTGGAGCCGAGACAAAGGAAACCCCCGATGGGCAGCGCCGACCGAGTTTTTCACTAAGCCACTGGACGACTGATGCGACTGGCGATCCATATTGCCGGGCTCGAACAGCAAAACACGCCGTGACCCCAATTGAGATGCGATCGCCGCCGTCGCTAAACGGAACAGCTGTGGCGGGCATGCCCCAATAACCGGTCGCCACACGTGTAACGACCTCGGTCCCACATAACAAAGGCGACGGGGACAGGCAAGCGAAGGCAGCGTACTCGTCTAAGGCGAAATCAATGTTGCCGCTTGGCGAATCGCTTCAGAATGACAGCGAAGTTACAAGTGGCAGCAACGGGGTCGGGTTTACGCCCGAGGGGCATCTCCGGCGGTTGCGCGAACCCGCTCTTCAGCACGAGAAAGCGGAAAACGGAGGCAACGCTGGACAGAGAAACCGTTACGCCAGTTCCATAATTTAACAGGCCTATTTTCAGTGTTTCAGGCAAGGCGTGCGGTGCGGTGGGAGTTTTCTTGTTACAGGGAATGTTCCACATTTGGAGATCTTCAGGCAAGCATCCCATATCATGAGATGAAATCACTTATAACTATTGATATACTTTTAAGTGCAAAATACTGCTCTAGACTACACTAGACTACACTACTTAGCGTACATGCCCATCAATACGTCATAGTTCGGTTACGTCATCGTACCTTGTCCTGTACAGCATTAATTTGGGGTCAATTGACGGCCGTTATTTCTTGAAATCGTGCTCATGAACGCCGGATATAAACGGGTTGCCAATAATATTTTTCTTAGCCTTGAATGCCGCATGGCTTATGGAATGGCAAGATTTAAATGACGTTATAATCACGTGAATACCTGGGTGACCTTGAAATAGTCTCCGCGAAATAGCCTGCACATCTTCGCAGGCGTATAGCTCAACAACTAGAGGGGTTCAGGTTTTGCGAAGGGCAGGGCTGTGAACTACACCAAATGATTTTCAAGACGGCTATTTCAGTTAAAACCTCACACAAATCAGGAACACTACCTTTAAACGCTCTCATGGCACCTCGCGGATTTCCCAGGAACGTATCTCACTTTCGGGCGTATAAATGGCGGCTCATTCATCACGAGTTTTTTGCTGACCAGCACAGTACAGCGACAGCTTCACAGCACTGGCTCAGCTCAGCCCTAGCAAAGCTCCAAACACACAGACCTCATGACTGCGCGGCGTCCCAACCCGTCACGATCCACGGCTCCGACAGCACCGCTGCACACGGCGTGACATCAGAGCAAATCCCCTCCGCTCACAGCTCACAGCTCACAGCTCACAGCTCACAGCTCACCGGCCGCCGTCAGCCCGAGTCGTCGGCGTGCTCGCTGCCGCACTCCGGACCGGCGCCCGGGAACCGGTGCGGCAGAGTACCGTCTCACCTGGCGCGGCGGCCTCGGCCATCGGCGCGGACGGACGGACGGACGGACGGCGGCGGCGGCCGCGTCCGCCGGCGCCCGCTCGCGCTCTGACCCGCACCGCAGGCCGCCACCTCCCCGACCACGGGCCATGAATAAAAATACGAGCCAAGGTCGGGCCCGCACGCACACGCGCAGCGCCGACCTCGGGCGGCGGAGCGGCGAGCCGTCGACGGCAGGCGCGGCGCGCCTCTCGCCAGCGGCGGTGTCAAGTCGGCTCCCCTCGCCCCCTGTATCCCATTCGCTCCGACTAAGCCTCTTTTCAGCATTCCTTCCTATGTTGTTCCGCCTATTTCGGCTTCTCCATTGCCCTCCAACTCTGAAGCTCTCTCTCTCCCTTCGTGGTTGTCTCCGTCTCTGCCTGCTGCTGCCACATTGGTCCATGTTTGTCTTGGTCTTCGTCGTCCGCTCTGTGTCCGCTGTCCCGACCGCTATCGCTCCTGCCCCTCCGTTCGCCCGCCGTGCCCCGCGCTCAATCCGCTCGCCCGCCCTCGCCCCCTCCCCCCCCCCTCGCCTCCAGCCCGCCTCAGCGGCGGGGCTCAGCCGCCTACCGCCGGCGGCCCCAGCGACAGGGCCCGTCGCTGCGGCAATCTCCGCCGACCGCGGCCGGGGTGCGTGCCGCCCCCGCGCCAACGCACAGAGCGTGCGCTCGGGTCGCGCAGCCGCTATTGATTGCGTCGAGACGGGCCCTGCCGTCAAGGACACGGCCGCTCCCGCCCGGCCTGCTCCGGCGTCAGCACCAAGGGCCCGGTTTAGGAGGACGGCGGGCCTGGGCGCCAGCGCGGTACGGCCGCCGCGACAAGACGTCCTGGGATCGTTTGCGGCGGTGCTGATGTCGCCAGGCTGGCAGTGTTAACCGCTGATAATAAGAGAACCGAGCGCTGATGTGCGATGGTCGTCAGCCCGAATCAGACCGTCCGTCACCAGGCTCTCCCAGCAAATCGATCCATCACCCAGCGTAAACGTCGCACGGACGCGAACCAAGATGTCAGCGTGGCGATGGTTGCGTTCAGCCCTTGGCGTGCCGGCCGGGGCGCTGCCGAGCGCCACGACCGGCCCGCGGTCGCCATCCGCAGGCACATGGAGGGGGGGGGGGGGGGCCTAGCTCCGCCCGGCAACAGACGTTACGCTGTGCGCACCACTCCGTCTGCACGGCAGCCTGCGACCGCCGGCTCCATGCTACATCCTGTGCTGGTGCCGGGCTGTTCACGGCGCACAAGACGGTGTGAGCGGCTGCTGACTGACCCGTTCCCGATGACCTGAACGCGCCGAATTACTGACCTGCGCCTGGTGACCGAGGCAGGCCGAGTGGCACAGGCTGGGCCGACTCGGCCAGCGGGGCCCGCGGCCAGGCCCTCATCGCCAGCTGCTTTTTCGGACCCTGTCGGCAATGCGGTGACGGGGGTAAACATGAAGGGGGTTATGCTAAGGCATCGCTTCCCGTACACTCTGACCCTCCCGACTTGCGAGCACACTCAGACCCCAAACCCCTGCCCTCAACGACTCACACCTTTATAACGTTAGAGCGGACTAAAAACACAACTTAACGAGCACACCGCGTTATACGGAGGGATCCAGGATTAAACATCCAACATTGGCAAGCTTGATCCGACAAAACACGCTTCTCAGAAACTATGCCGGAGTAATGGCAACGACCAAAGGAGTCAGTGCTAATCCCTACGACTCATTCCAAACCAGCCAACACATTCCCGCCCCGATTGAGGACGGCCCTCTTCATCCGGCTTACCGTAAGTACGAGCGCCAATCAACAGAGCTGGATGTTCCGCCCGAAGCCTCAAGCCACCTTTAGCCAACACGAAGTCCAGCCCCACCGAGATCAACTGAAACTGGGGAAAAATATTTGGATATCTGCCAAGCTCAATGTGTGCCACATCGGTCGGTGACTAAAGATCGTTTCAAAACTTGCTCACATCCACATTTAAACATCTCCTGTCATTGCTTGGACGCTATTTGCCAGCGGCGTTGCTTTACAACCGGCGACCCCTGCCGAGATCCGTCCCGTCATTTGGGTGTGTTGAGGCGCGCCAGCCGGTGCGTCGTTTTCAGCTGGCATCTGAATGCCCGAATGGCGAACGCTGGTGGCAAGCTGGCGTAATAGCTCAGATATTTCTTGCGTCGAGTAGAATCCGGAATACGGCTGTTTGAAAGACAGACTATTGAATACTACAATGTTTCCACACTTTTATGTGTCGTGCGGATACGCAAACGGCCGTAACGCCGGGCCGCTCACCCAATTTAGTTTCAGGGTGTCTTCGAATGAACGCCCAAACTCAATTAGCCAACAAGGGAATCAGTAGACCAGGTACTGATACTGATTCCGAGGATTGTTGCCATGGAAATCGCCATCTGAGGCCCTCAGTCTGGAAGATATTCTGATTTCAAGTGATCTGTGGAAACCATGGAAAACCACAGTCGCAACATAGAGCATCATTCTGCATATTTATCGCGTTATTCATGTACATGAAGCTGAGTGCGTTACCATACATGGCCTTGGAAATGATTCGGGTTTTATAGGTCCTAGAAAAAGTATGCAGCACCATCAGCATTAACCTTTCTGAGGTCATGAAAGCTTCCTCAATGTAAAAGTAAATGGTGTGATAACCAGCCCAAAAAGAATGGCTGTACTGTCAATGGGAAAAATGCAAAACCATGCTCTACTAAGCAGGTATCTCTCTGTTAATTTTCTGCTTTGTTACTTTTTCTCTGTAACTTTCAAATTCAATGCATAACACATTGGGCATGCTGGCCCCATGCATTTATCTTGCTTTTTAAGGCTTTTTCTTTTCAACAGTGATTATATAAATTGCTTTGCTACCATGCGGCCCATGGATGATAATAACCATATAGCGGTGCTCTCATCAGTAACAGTTCTATCTGATAGGGCTATGACCAAAGGTAATGAACATAACTGACAACTTTCAGTGTTTAGGCATTAGCTGATGTCACAGGCTGCTAGTGGGATTATGTTTGTCTCATTCTACACAAATTAAAACTTGATGAATATCCATGGTAATACCTACATTGGAAAATACTTAATTCAAGCATAACCTTCCAAATGACACCACTGTCCTGATGTAAAAGATGGGCACAAGCTTATGCAAATCATTTTGGCCTGCAGCCAGTGGTATAAATAAGATAACATGGGAGACAGATATTAACAGATCAGTTCTATGTACCCAATGACTGATGCAATCAGTGCCTGATGCAACTGACCACATCTGCCCAGCTGAACAGAACTATAGGGCAGAAGGGGATGCAGCAATCCCGACCATTTGATCGGGGGTGCAAGCATGTGCAGGACTTGGTGAGGGCAAAAGAGTGAAATACAATAGGACTAATAGGATTGAAGATATCTCTTTTCTAGACATACACAATCATGCATAGCAGTATGATAGCATCAATATCATCGTTACTGTTACTGATGGTGGCAATAGGCATTGTAAGTCTTATTCAAAATCCTAATACTTTGACAAGAACATATTTTACCCTCCAGGGAAACAAAGGATCACTGTGATCCAGAGGCAAAAAGGCCTTAGTGCCATTAGGTGGAAAAGCATTTCAGACTTTTCACCTTTGTGCAGCAGATCTCAGAGCTCTGGTTCCAGGGGTTCTTGCATCTCAGCTATCTGACATATACCACTAGCATGCCGTCATAGTTTTTTCAATCTGAGGCTTGACATCACCCATCCAGCTCTCCACCCATTAAGCCTTAGCAAAGAGTGCACGGTTCTCAGTTTGTGGCAGTTGTGCACAACTGTATTAACTGTGCCTCAGAAACACCTTACTGGCTCCTCTGGCAGCTTCTGACTGGACCCATGTGAATATATTGATTGAAGTCTGGCCCAGGGCCTCAGGCAAAACCTTAAGCAGCATACCAGTTTAACTACTTTGACATATCATTTATGAGGGGAGTGTCGCTCTATGCAGTTTTGATGTTTACACCTGAGCCTCAGCCATATTCTGGAAATGATCCACAATAGGGTATATTTCATTTCCACTCCATAGGAAACTGGTGACTTTTCTGCTTTTCAAAGCTAAGACAAATTACCTGATGAAGACAAAAAGTTCCTCCTCAAGACTATAGAACTAAATCACAGAAATTTTGGGCTGCGGCCAAGACAACCTATCAAACCAATAACAAAGAATTATCTGATGAATTATCCAGATTTTGTTTGGTACTATTTTGGTATTATCTATACAGATGCTTGGTATTATTGGATATCATTATGGTATTACTTTTATAATATCTGTTAAGCTGAAACATGCTTCCAAGATTTAATATAGGGTCCATGAACACCATGAACACCAGCCCTTTGTTCCACAGCACAACAAATGCCACACCTTTCAGAGCATTCATTCTCTAATTTCATTCACAGTGAACAGATTTGGTGAAACACACTGCTACATACCACAACCACAGCTGCATAGCCTTATGCAGCTGCCACAATGAGAACAGATACCTATCCCATGAGGTACCTACCCCTCTCAAAGCATGATTTACCATGCATAATACCATTTGACACATGAGACTTAGGTTGCATGACCATCAAAACATGGTTGTGATAACATGTTATCTGCATTTTCGAAAAGCCATTGCCTGAAACGACCTAGCTTGTGGCGAAGAAAGGCAATAGCATTCTAACCCTGAGACCACAGTACGTCATCTCCACTCCGTTCGTTTGTTCGCGACAACCAGGAGCATTCAACACTCACCCGTCGACGCTAGAGCCCAGACCGACCGCCTACACTCACGACTACTTAAGCAAAATGAGTGAGTCATGACAGGACGTCCAGCACCTCCCCAATGCGCTCCTCCGTGTGAAAGCTTCATGGACGAGTGGGAACAAAACATCAAAACAGAGCACCAGCTGTTCTCTAGTTCAAAATCATTTCACTAGATGGCTCTTTGTCCCACTTCTAGTCGTTTTTCTTCGTTCGTTGAGTAGCCTCATTCACCATTGCTAAGAACGCGTTCCGATATTTACGGATTCGGGATGGCTATCTTTTTGACAACCTTTTAGTCCGATCATTCCCCGCAACACTTTTCGCTTCAATATAGAATTATGGTTCAGGTGATTGAAGTCCTGACCTGTCCAATGTTCAGGCCGCCGTTTCAGACCAATTTAGTCTATTTTTTCGACGGACGCTAGTCTAGGCGTTGAAAAAGATTGTGATGCTTAAAGATCCAAATCAGACGGTAAATTGTGAGTGACATGGAACTTCTCATCTCTTTTGGCCCCCATTTCACGGACCTTGGAGCATGTCGTGAAGAGCCCAGAAGTTCTGACTGATGTTCGTTTCTGCCCCAGCCAAGATTCTGACACTTAAAATCAGATCGGCTGTTAACTTTGGGAGATATGGAGCTTGTCTTGTTTATATTAAAGCTAGCATTGATCTTGACGCAGAGAGCTAAGAAAATTTAGACAGACTTTACGATAGGCGCTAAAAATATCAAGGTTAACAAATTTGCAGTCGGCCAGGAACTTTGCTATGTTGTGCCTATTTTACCTAAATCGCTTCCCAATTTCCCTTTTGTGACAATGTCCGTGAAGTTGTCAATTCATTCAGTGATTCATTCAATGGAGAGTTCCGATTTCTCTGAAAACACGCCACGATGTCAAATGTAGCGCGGAACATCAAAAATGGCAGATACTTTGCAAGATCATCAGGCCTTCAAGGTCAAAAGCTGGGTCAAAGCAGAGGGAACTCTACATCACAAAGAATGCCAGCGGATTTTAAACTTGCCAGCACCAGAATATTTATCACACAATCCATGTCAGTCAAAATGTCCGTCAGCTAGTGTTCATGAAAAAGTTCTGACCGTGCAAGGTCATCCTTCAAGGTCAAACACAGGCTCAAAGAGCAGGGAACTACGTACCACCAAAAATTGCCGTCCAATTCTAGATTTACAAACATCAAAAGATTCACAAGCGCAGGAACTAATGTCCGTTAAAAAGTTCTCGCCCTTCAAGGTCACTATTTGTAGTGTCTAACGGGTCGATTTCAACTTTTCAGACATCAGGATATTCACAAGCGCATGAACTAGCGTCTGTAAACAAACAAACTCTCCAGGCCACCTTTCAAGATCAAGTGCGAGCCCAAAGGACAGGAACTTCATATCACAAAAAAGAACGGCTGACTTTGAACAAACTTGGAAGCACCAGAATACTCACCACGGACAGAACTAGCGTCTGTTATAAGCTCTTGGCCTCGACCAGCTGAACCTGAAGGTCAAACTATTGTTCAGGTTACGGGACGTTTTGGCAATTCATTCAGCGATCTATTCAGTAATGAGTTCCAATTTTTCTGAAAACCCGTCATATGGTCAAATATGATATGGTTAAATGCGGTCATAGGTCAAATATAACATGTGAACATCGAATACGACGTTTATTTGCCAATAGCATGTCACATTTGAGGTCAAAAGTTAGGTTAGAGTACGGGAAACTTCACGTCACAACATAATTACTGATCGATCTCAAGTTTGCAAGCATAAAATATTCACAAGCGCAAGAAGTAGTGGTCTAAAAGTTTTCACCTCTCAAGATCATCTTTCAAGTTTGAAATCAGGCTTAAAAGACGAGGAAGTTTATATCGCCAAAAATTACCGACCGATTCTAGCTTTGTAAACATTTAAATACTCACAAGCTCAACAACGACCTCTATAAAGGCCTGCTCTCTCAAGCTCACCATTCAAGGTCAAACTACAGCTGAAGTAATGGGGAACCCAATATCACCCAGAATTTATCAGCTTATATTAAACTTGCAGTGGCTAGATTATAGCCACGGAACGAACTAGCGTCCGCTCAAATGTTCTAAACTCTCGAAGTTACCCTAAAAGATAAAACGCCGGCTCAAAAGGCTGGGAGCTTCATAGCATCAAAAAATTACCAGCCGATTTTGAGCTTGTCAGCACCAGAAAATTTACCACAGAAAGACCAACGGTCCGTTACAAAGTGCTGATCTCTCAAAGTCACTCGTCAAGGTCGAACAGGTCTAAATGACGGAGAACTCCATATCACCAAAAAATTACCGGCCGATTTTGAACTTGGCAGTATCAAAATATTCACATAGACGGAACTATCGTCCGTCAAAAAGTCCTGCTCTCTCAAGATTACCCTTGAAGGTCAGACTCAGGCTCAAAGGACATGACCTTGACAGACATGAGATGAAATTGGAAGAGAAACGTCATTTTCTATGCTGCCATGCCATATTTGAACATAAACGGATTTTCAGAGAAGCTGGAATTTGTCGCTTGATAAATCGCTCAATAAATCGCCAAAGCTCTCCGTAACTTGAACAGTAGTTTGACCTTGAAGATCTGCTGACAGAGTTCAAGACCTTTTGACGCGCGCTATTTTTTTTTCTGGGGTGAATGTCCTAGTGTTTGTAAGTTTAAAATATGCCGGTCCTTTTCAGCTATGTCAAGGCCGCGTGCTTTGAGCCCAGATTTGACTATAAAGGGTGGCTTTAAGAGGTCAGCACTTTTGACAGACGTAAGTTCATTCTGTGGTTAATATTTTGGTGCTTCCCTCGTGTTTTGAGCCTACAATTTTACCTTGCAGAGTGCCCTTGAGAGCCCAGCAGCTTTAAACGGACACTAGTTCACCCACTGGTGTATGTCCTGATGCTTGAAAAGTCCAAATTGGCCGGTAATTTTTTGGCGATATGGAGTTTCCCGTCCCTTGAGCTTGAGTTTGGCCTTAAAGGGCAATCTCGTGAGGTCAGGACTTATCGGCGAACGCTAGTTCGTTCTGTGGTGAAACTTCTGGTCGGTACATTTTTGAAATTGGCCGATAATTTTTTGGTAATATGGAAGTTCCGTCCTTTGAGTCAAAGTTTGACCTTGATGAGCAATCTGAAGAGTTGATGAGTCTTTGATGGTTGCTAGTTCGTTCTGTGGTGAATATTCTGGCATGTTAAAAATCGGCCGGTGGTATTTAGTCATAGGAGCTCCCCATCCTTTGAGTCGGCGCTTTACCTTGAAAGGCAACTTTGTGAGGTCAAGACGTTTCAACGGACACTGATTCGTTCTGTGGTGTGCATTCTGGTTCTTGTAAGTCAAACATTGGCCAACATTTTTTTTTGGTGATATGGAGTTCCTCGTCCTTGTATCCCGCATTTGACCCTGAAGGGTGCCATTGAGTGGTCAGGACTCTTAACGGACACTACGTCTTGAGCTTGTGAATGTTTTGACGTTTGCAAATCTAGAATCGGCTGATATTTTTTAGTGATGTTGAGTTCCCCGCCCTTCGAGTCTAAGTTTGACCTTGACTGATGGCCTTGAAAGATCAGGACTTTTTATGTTTGCTAGTTCACATTATGGTAAATATTCTGGTGCCGGCAAGTCTCAAATTAACCAAAATTTTTTTGCCAATATGGAGTTTCTCGTCATTTGAGCCCGTGTTTAAACTTGAGGGGTGACCTTGAAAGGTCAAGACTTTTTGAAGGACGCTACTTCTTGCGCCTGTGAATATCTTGATCTTTGGAAATTTAGTACTGGCCGTTTTTTTTTTTTGGATACACGAAGTTCCCCGTCCTTTGACCTAGCTTTTTACTCTGAAGTTCACATCATAATGAAAATAAACGTCATTTTCGATGTCTTCGTGCCATAAGTGACCTTGTTTTCATAGAAATCGGAGCCTGTCACTGAACAAATCACTGAATGAATCGACAACTTCATGGGCCTATGGCGACAGGCCCATCCCCCGACCGCCGGAACGGCAACGGGTAGCCGATGAGTGCGGCAGTTCCCAACGAACTTAAGCTGAAATTGAGTTCCCTGTCTTTTGACCTTGGATTTGATATTACGAGTCACGTAATATGTTGAAAAACTGATGTTGGATTCGATATTCTCGTGGTATGATCGGTCACGTGAAATGATCCGTCAGGTCGTTTTGAAACAGGAGGTCGTCATTTCAAATATCGCTTTGAAATAGGAAATCATTTGAAATAGGAGATGGTCACTAAAATATCGCCATGTGAATCGATATCTTCATGGAGGCATTAGCGATATATTCATTTCAGGATTGATTTGACAGTGAACTCTGACTTCGATGAAATCGTGTGTGATAGTCAGTCATGACACAAAAAGATCAAATTTGACGTCTACTTCTCAATATCAGGTGGTACTTATGGTCAAATTCAAGATTAGATGGAGGAGAACATGAAAATGAACGGAACTGGGCTTCATATCACCCAAAAGTTGCACACGATTTCAGATTTGAAAGCAGCAGAATGGTCTTCAGCGCGTTATAGGTAGTGTTCCACATTTGTGTGGAGTTTTGGATACTGGATACTATACTATGGATACTATATGGTCGAATCGCTAAGCCGTTTGACTCCATAGTCACATCGTTAACAGCTGGCGTTCGTGAGCACGATTTCTAGATATGATGTCAACTGTTTCTTAATCAATGTTGTGCCAGGTATGATGACATAATAAAACCATAACGGATTGAGGAGCATATCTACTAAGCAAAAAGCTTGTGATGTCTAGAACAGTCTTTTCCACTTAAAAGTATGGCAATAGCTATCAGTGAGCTTATTTCATCATATCTGATGCTTGCGGCAGTATCTTCAAATGTGGAACATTCCCTTTAAGCGTTAGAATCGTCTTCATCAAATAAACTGTCCGATCAAAACATCCAGTCTTTACGAGGTTACACTTCACGGTGAAATTAAAGGTTCTGAAGACGATTTTGATGTAACCAAATCTGAAATCGGCCGGTTAGGCTTGAGCTATGTGGAGTTCTCCGTCATTTGAACCTTAACACGTGCCCGAGCAGCCGGTTGAACGCGACGTGCTCGTGGGGAGAGGGGTG